CCCAACTGTCAGCACAGGCAGCAGGAATCGTGCTGCAAACCTCTCCAGAGCTCCACCACAGCCTGTACTGTCAGGGGAAGAATGGCTTCCAGGGAGTCTCCACAGGTATTTGGCAAGGTCCTCCTGGTTTACAGCTTCCGAGCGGCTCTCATGACCCCAGTCCAGAGGACCTCTGACTCCTTGGGCTTAGTCTGCATTGTCATGTTTTCCGAGTCCTTGTTCAGCAGTTGCTCCTCCACTGACTCTGGACCTTTGTGGTTCTCAATGGCAGGAGCAAGAGTGATGCCTTGTATGGCATGTATTCCCAGGGGTTTCTCCATGCTTGAATGATTCACACACGTCCGTGGGTGGGCATCTGCAGCCAGTTCATGGTGGGCCAATTGTGTCATTGTTTCTCTGTGTCATGGTAGTTCTCATTTAAGCTGCAGCTGCTGGCCAGAGGGCCGGCGTGCAACCGTGCTTGCCGCGGCATAGCTTCCTGTGCACCGGGGGCCCTCCTTCCAGGCACCTACAGGGCAGGAGGCCAGCAGGAAGACCGGTGCTCCCCACCCCATGGCTCCCCGTGCACGGGGGGGGGGGCTCCTTCCGGCGCCTAGGGGGCAGGGGGCTGGCCCCTCTATTAGTTTTTAATGCACATTTTTATTGGTAAATTATAACCATAGATAAAAGCAGTCATTTCATAAGTATATAATGCCCAATAATTATCACAATACGAGTATATTCTGTGGCTTCAAATCAGATCCAGCCATTTTGTTACATGTTCTCTATGCATTTGAAAATCATGTATTATGTAACGACTTGTATTTAATTTAATTGTTAATCACATAAAAGTTCTTTAATGGTGCAATAAGATTTTTAAAACCTACTGATTTTTATTTTTTTTGCTCTGCTTTGCTACATCTGTTGCCCAGCAATCTGTAATGGAATCTCTCATTATCACTATGAATTTATAGACTTACTTTGGTAGTTCTGACAATTGTCCCTTTCACATCAGTCCTTTGAAGCTGCTATAACTGCTTTTCATTTTATCAGGTGTTGCTTTTGAATTGATAAATTCCTTAAAGGGAAATATGGTAACAAATATGAGGCTGAATTCTTTACGCTGCTCTTATCTTCCGAGTCATGACCTTCATGTTCTCATTGCCCAGGGGGCTCTCTGAAGTTACTTAAAATTATTTCTCTAACTTTTCTAATTGTTCTTGGTAGGTGGATTGGCTTGAGGCAAATAATAGTCTTCTGATAAGTGTAGAAATATCTGTAACATTTTACATGTTTTAAATGTTCTAAATCTTAATTTATGGTACTTTCCTGCATTCTTAAATGTAATGATTGGTAATTTTCTTCTTTTGAGAAGATAAATGACCAAAGAATTGTTTCCAAGAGTGTCTTGGTTACTTTTCTTGTTGATGAGACAAAATGCTCTATACTCGAAGGAGAAAAGGTTTATTTAGCTCATAGTTTGTAAAGGTTTCAGTCCATCATTAACTGGCCCCAAGGCAGGGTGGTGCGGCAGACAGGCATCGCAGAGGAGAAACAGTTCATGGTGGGGCAGAATGTAGCAAAATAAACAAAGAGACCTTAGCAGCATCTTTCTGCCCCTTTTATCTTATCCGGGCTACTTAGGATGGGTGGGACTCACACCCTTAACCGTAGTATCCTTGACCCTAACATTGCACCATGAATTGATTTCAGTGTCACACACTCTAGATCCAGCCACCTCTGAAAAAGCCTCACCTGTGGCCTCTTGAGGCTTTGGTGGACAGCTAGACACAAGCCATAACAAAATTCTGTTTTAAATTACAATAATAATCATAGTGACAGAAAACAGGAGACCCGAATCTGACTTTTTCTGACACTCATATTGAATCTTGCTTATTATTACACTGCATAGATACTAACAGATTTCTAATTGTTTTCATGGTATAATTTTTTTCAGGATTCAGCTTGCCTGGTCCTGAAATTGTCTCCAAGCTGAGATTTCAGAAAAATAGAGGGATAAATGTTGGAAGGAATAGAGCTAGAATGAGCATGTTATGTGAAAGAATCATTCTAGGATGGAATTAAAATTCTAGGATGTACACTAAATTAAGTACGACTTCACAGATATGTGATGACAACCTAGCTACATTTAGACTCTTCATGTTTTCAGCAGTGTTAAATATATAAATAAGCACATAGATTCACCATGCAGCCTTAGGAAAAGGAAGTGAGTTGCTAAGATTCTCACTGTATGCTAAACCATGTGACATCTTGGCTTCATCACCTCTTCTGTACCTTTCTAGCTATGGGATATCTTTCACCAGGTTCTCTAAAGATACTGCTTTTTATGCTAGGGAATAATTGCATCCTGATTACTCTGGCTAAATCTGTGGGATAGTTCTTGTGTGTTTGCCTGCTAGATTTTCCTTGATAATTCTGTCACTGGCCTCCGCAGACTTTGGCCAGCCGTCAGAGGGCTGTATCTCTATGATGTATTTACAAGCAACTTCTTTTACTAATCACTTCTGGACTCTCCCTCCATTTATTTCCTCTGTTCCTATGAATCAAAGATAATCACTTAAACGTTTAGAATTAATAACCAAACGTTTTATTTTTTAGGGGGTATTTTAATGCCCTTTTAAAATAAATTCTAAACATGATTACAGGATGTTTAGAGTATAGAGAGATGGAGACGGTCAGGGTAAAATACTTTCTATGCTCCATGAGTGGAAGGGACCTTGTCTGTTTGTCACTCCTTTGTCTTTAGGGCCTAGAGTAACCTATTGAATGTGTTCAGGAAATTCTACTCAACTAATTACAAAGGACTGAAGAGGGTTTAGCTTTTGTTCAGTTGATGTTCATTATTGGTTAGTAGCTCAGAGTCTAGAATCTGACCAGCTAGATTTCAATGCTAGAACTTGGATGTACAATTTCTGTATGATGCTTACTATACCAAAGTACTAGCTTTTCACCTGAAGTATAATAACTGCATTAATGCTCTCTCACTGTTTAGTAAAGACTGAAATATTACAGTCCTTAAAATGATTTTAATTTCTTTCCCTGAAAATACAATTATAAAATCTGTAAATTAAATTCTTAAAAAGTGTGTCCAATCAGATAGAGATTGTTCATGTTTATAAAGAGGACAATGACATTTCCTGCATCTGTGTAGGAGGACTTCAGGATTTTGAAAAACAAATATGGTTTGTAATTTTGGGAACTCCTAACCTGACGCCTTTGTGAAATTATGTGAATGCCAATCACAGTCTTTGAGCTAGCTGGTATGTTCCCCTGTTATGGAACTCAGATGCTAGTAACCCATCAGAATGTAACTCACTTCACCTCCTCTCTCTTTAGCTCAAGGGCTGAACAGATTTCTCAGGATACCTTCTAACTCCCAATTTCTTTTTTATACTAAGGAGCAGTGTGTTTTCATAAACAACCTTTCCTGTATTCCTGTTCCAGGTATGCAAGGTAATGGAAAACCTCATGTCACACAGTGTACTTTAAAATAACATCAAGTGGTGCATGCCTGTAATCCTAGCACTCGGGAGGCAAGACAGGAGGATTGTTGTGAGTTCGAGACCAGCCTGGGCTACAAAGTGAGCTCAAGGCCAGCCTGAACTGCATAGTGAGACTCTGTCTCAAAAAGACAAAAATAAAATAAAATAAAATAACATCAGTTCTGTGTATTTTTGGATGGCACATAATTTAATAGCTTTGTACCTCTCCTCTCTAGTGCATTATCAGACCATGGAGAAATGCCCATTAGACACCATATTTTAAGGTAACTTCAGTTATATGAATAAGCTAGGAGCACATGTAATTAAGCTAGGAGCACCAAAGAAACAAAGGCTCCTTTTTTACTATGGTCTTTGACTACACTCTGGTTCTTTTCTCTGACAGCATCCGGACAATACTATGACTAATCTCCTTAGTCTTAATGCTATAGACAATGGGGTTAACCACAGGTGGGAAGAAGAGGTAAGCATTGGCCATCATGCTTTGTAGCAGAGGGGACACATGGTGTCCAAAGCGATGCACCATGGACACGCTAATCATAGGCACATAATAAGCAAGCACAGCACAGATATGTGAGCCACATGTGCCAAGAGCTTTCTTCCGTCCTTCTCCGGTGGCAATGCCCAGTACAGTGTAGAGGATGAGCCCATAGGAGACCACAATGAGCAAAGCATCCAGCCCAAAAGTGGAGGTAACAATGAAAAGTCCATAGATATTGTTGACAGAAATGTCCCCGCAAGATAGGTGAATAAGATTGGGGTGGAGACAGTAGGAATGAGAGAGGGCATTGTGGCCACAAAAGGGCAGTCTTTGTAAGAGCACAGGCAATGGGGCCATGAGCATAATGCTTTTCAGTACAAGGATGGCTCCTGTGGCAAAGATGCGGGGCAGTGTCAGGATAGTTGTATAACGCAGGGGGCAATAGATGGCCACAAAGCGGTCCACAGTCATGGCCAGCAGCACAGCTGACTCTATAAGGGAGAAAGAGTGGATGGAGAACATCTGGAGAAGGCAGGCTTCAAAAGTAATCTCAGACATACCGAAAAGGAATATGCCGACCACTGTAGGGAAGGTGGATGCAGAGACACCAACTTCAGCCAATGCAAGCATGGCGAGAAAGAGATACATGGGCTGATGTAGAGCAGGATCTGTTCTGATGACATGAAGAATGATGCCATTCCCAAGGAATATAATGATGTACATCAGGCAGAAGGGGATAGATATCCAAATGTGCTCTCCCTCCAGCCCTGGGATGCCCACCAAAGTGAAAGTCGCTGGTAAAAATCCCACAGAGCTATTGAAATTCTTCATGTCGTACTCTCATCCCATGCGATCAGTGCTGCCTCAAAAATGAGAAACAAACTAGTGAGATAATATTATTATGAAGAAAGATCAATCTTGCATTCTTACATCTGGTAACCTGAGCAACTTCATTGAAGATAATGATATGCAGTATAGCAACCATTGTTAAGAGCAAACTTAGATTCAAGTGGCCAAAGGTCTCATTTTGGAGAATTGATAGATGATCCCATCCTTAGGAAATGCCCTGTGTGGAAGATGTTACCACTGTTTCCAGTAGAGGGAAGTTTTAGGCTGATAGAATTTATGGAAATCATGGTGCACTTTGTTATCTGCTAAGAGACAAATGGCTGTGTTGTGCTGGTGTGGAGATGTCTGACCAGAGAAGGCTACAAGGGAGACAATACGCGAGCAATCCAATCATAAGATGTGTGATAATGCTGGGACCAGGTGAGCAGATATTACTGACAAATGTCTGGATACAAGGTACAAAGCATGGTATATAAAATAGCCTAAGAATATCTGATAAGTATAGTTAGAGGAATAATTGGGGTCCAAGGGAAGGGGGGATAGTGAACAGAGAGTGGAGCAAGCAGAAGAGTTAAAGCAAGAGCAGGAGCTAATCCTAGAAGCTTGGAGCCAAATGGGTTTATGTTTTCTGAGCTTTAAAAAGTGTGTAATATAACAACCATTGTTAATTTCGTGTCACCTTGTTTTGAAATTCTGTATTGTTGTTATTGTTTTTATGTTGTTTTGTTTGTGTCTTTGTATTTGTTATTTTCTTTTTGTTCTTTTCTTTTTAAAATAAAAAATATGTATGCATATGCAAGGATAGCTAGAATAACTACTGCTGATGTCTATTGGTTTAGTGAAAGGAACAGCTAATGCTTAAATTTTTTCTTGACAAATTTTGCATACTTATATGTGTTAGTCAGAACAACTAATTTGAAGACAACAATATGCAATATAACAACCACTGCTGAATTCCTACCATCTTGTTTAATGAAACTCTGTATCATTTCTAATTTTTATCACTTGTTATTATCTTTAACTATTTGGTCAATCTTGCATTCTTACATCTGGTAACCTGAACAACTTCACTGAAGATGATGATATGTGGTATAGCAACCATTGCTAATCCCTGTAAAAAGAAGTATTGGGGCTGGGGATTTAGCTCAGGGGCAAAAGCGCCTGCCTGGCAAGCGCAAGTTCGTGAGTTCAGTTCCTGGTACTGGAGAAAAACCAAAAAAAAAAAAAAAAAAAAAAAGAAGTATTGGAAGCAGCTAGAATGATTGTGTGCAAAGGACTAAGTCATTCAGGAAGAGGTAAGAAC